CCGCTGTCCCTCCCCGCTGGCACAGCCACTCCCTGTTCCCCCCCTTCGTCCGGTCTCTCCTTCTGGTCGCTCCCCTGCTCACTCCCCAGCATCATCTCCACGCAGCTTCAGCCCAATTAGAAAGGTCCGGCCACCTGTGGGCATCCCCACCAGCCACCTGCCTGTGGAGGTAGAGGGTTCAGAGCAGACCCACTCCCCATCACAGCACTGACAGCCGTCTGGATGTTAGGTCTAACCCCATCATATGTGAATCATCTGTAGTTTGTCACAGTTTGTTGTGTTTGTTTATGTTTGTTCTCTTTAAATGAGCACAGTTTAACTTTTCGCCTACTTCTTTGTTGCTATGCACAAACTTTCTCTTGTGTTTGATGAGCCTCGCCGTCCTGTAGTGAGTCGTGTCAGTGATGAGACAGTAAGAAAATCAATGATGTGTTTATTTTACTTTTCAAATAAAAGTTTTGACACAAAACGCACAAATTAAACCACACACACACACACACAGAGAGACACACAGAGAGAGAGAGAGAGAGAGAGAGAGAGAGAGAGAGAGAGAGAGAGAGAGAGTATTATTATCTTACACATTAGGGCACTTTATAACCTATAAGAAAACTGGTGTAAGAATTGTCTTTTATTTTGTGACAATAAAATTCACAACTCATGCAGGTGTGCCATCTTTATTTAAAATAATATGTTATTTAAAACTGATGTCAAAAACTTCCTTTTTTTTAGGGTTCAAGAGGTTTTGTGATGGTGTAATGCTTGTCTAGTCCACTAGGTGTCACTCAAAGATTAAAATAAAGCCCTGTTTTGTATAAGTTATTTTATTTGGTTTGGTTGCATTGGTCAAAAATTGCACGTATAACAGAATATTATATAAAATTTGATTGTAATTATTCTGAAACTAAAAGGGAAATATCATCATAGCCTTTAATTGTTTGTTTGTTTTGTATGCATGGCTTTACCTTTTTATTTTGACCAAACTGACCAAATATTTTGGTTTCCAGCTGTTGTAACTGAACTATGTATGGGACTTTTTGAAAATCATAAAAGGGAAGGAAATGTGATCATAGTTCAGGTGATCAATATGCCTCAACCTGTCTCTTAGCTTGTGCAACTTTATGCAAATATTTGTTTTCTTTTTCTAAATCGACACTTCTACTTTTAAAAGAAGCAGTAACGTGTAGAGTGTTTTCACGTCTGTGTTTGTTGTCAAATCCAGCTCTCGTGTTCCGTCACACCCCCTGATCCCTCCTCACATGCATGTTGCTGCACGCAGGTTCCTGCCCTTCAATCCTGCTCCCAGGTTTCCCTGCGCTGAATAAACAACTGGGTCTGGCAGCGAAACATTCTCGCTGGCATGATGACGAAATCTTCTGTTTAGTGTCCACCGACGTGACTTCTGCCGTTTGCTCTTATGAGAAACACTCTGAAGACTACATTGCTGTATTTCAGGAAATCCTCACAAAGGGATTGTAGCATCACTTTAGTTACTCTAAGGTTTGAGAAGATGGATGATGGAACACTTTGAGATGGTGATATCTATTGCTTTTGGTTTAGCTTAACTTATTACATTACAACACCTGCACACATAGGATATCCTTGATTAATACACACCACACTGCTATTTAATCAATACTCACACATTGTGGTTTAAATGTTTGATTTGTGTATTTAAATTGGGTGTAATTTGGATTTTGTCCCATTTCTCATTCATTATCTCTCTTCTAGTGGCCTTTAGAGCCAGACCATAACCTCGTATCACCAGCTTTACTTCAGGAAAACCATCAGAAACAACGTTTTGTTTCCCTGCAGCTATTTAACCCGATTTGTTTCTGCAAGTTTTTTTTTCTTTTCACCTCATTTGCTCAAATAACTGCACCATCCATGCACATATGCACCAAAGTAATGACAGTTTAATGATGTGATGTGTTTTAACTTGAATGCATTTTCTGGTACATAACAAAGGACCAAAAGCAAAAGGATGCACAGGTGCATTCAGATGTGAGGTGGCAATGTAAAAAAGCATGCATATAAAGTAGCCGGATCCATCGCTGTTATCAGGATAATGTGTTCTCTTTTGGAGCTCCAGCTGGACGGTTGTTGTGATGGAAATCTGCATGATTTTACTGATCTGCTTTTATCCTGAAATGTGTCTTCCATTGCTGAAAGTGTGAGTCCTGTGGATGCATAACCTAATCAGATCTGCCTGGTTTGATCTGTTTGCTGCTTTGTTCTGTTTCAAATACCATCCATTCACTGGCACACAGGCTCATGAATACTCGTGCAACGCACAAACTCACAACTAGTGATAAATAAAATGGAGACGGATTGATGAAAGTGGGTCATTGGTAATTGAATTTGGAAATTTCCTTTACATTTCTGTGACGTCAAATATTAAATGCTAGTCAGCGTCTGTCTGGTCATGTTCCAACTTCCTTCCAGTGTGGCTGAAGAGCTAAAAGGGTCACTTAATGAGACTCAAGGGAAGTGAATCACGTGTGAAAGAGAAGGTGTGTTTGTCTACATGCAGGTGTGTGAGGAGAAGATGTCCTCTGGGGGGTCTCCAGGTCTAATTAATCACCCCTTGCTGCCTGAGTGAGCCTAGTCAATAATGTCCTTGTTAACACCAGCTACTTGGAGTGAAATTCCCAGAAGAAATGAGTAACTTTATTAGTGAATGTGTGCAAAATCCCTCATTTCTCAGTGCATGCTTACAAATCTGTTACACTTTATTTTAGAACATGTCGTAACTTTTATTTGCAGTTTTCATTTTAACAATTTTTCAAAACAATTAGCAATCATTTATAAAATTTCAGATGTCACATTTTGTTGCAGGTGTTAAAGTAAGAGTGTTTCTGATTGAGGCTGCATGTAGCTTTTTTCAATAGCTGTGTTATCTCACTTCTCTATAACTTGGTTTGTAAAGGTTTCATCACAAGTGTTTACTTATAAAACATCACTTCAAAATAACACAATGATTTCAGTTTAAGACAGTGTGACCTCCCAACATGAGAAATGGGTTTGTATTTTAGAAAATAAAGGCATTTGCACATTTTCTAAAGAATAATTGTGAATGTAACAGTGTGCATACAGACATTTTCTGGTTTTCTAATCAATCAAAAATGTTTTTTTTATTTTGAATATATTCCTTTCAAACTGTGTTTTTGGCCTAAGTTCATACGTGTCTAATAATTCATTAATTTAATCTTTTCAAGTTTTAATTTTCTAGCAAAAACTTGAATTTATAACATTAAATGAAATCTGACATGCATGCAAACACAAGCTCACTGCTAAACCGTCCTGCTTCTTCATTCAAGCTATTTTTTCCCACTAAAACACCATAAAGGAAATAGTTTGTCAGCTTTTCAGGCAAAAGCCTCACACCATTCATCATACTCATCATCACAGTTGTCCTTTTAGTCTCCATAGTAACGGTCTCACGGAAACAAGCGCCACTTTCACCTTTCTCACATGTCCTTCGTTATCAGCCCCATCACTCACACTCCTCCTCATATAGCTTACGTGTGTTTGTTTGTATCTGAGCGTCTCTGCATGTGTGGAAGCCGACCCCTCTGCACCTAGGACGCACCACAGGGTGAGAAAGCCACACCGTTGATGCTGTGAGTTCAACATCCACTGTATTTTCTAGTATTTTACATAATCTGTTCGATCAATTTTATTATTGCAGCTGGAAAGTCGAGTCTCATCATTTGTTTTTATGTTATTATCTTTTATTTATCAATTTTCTTGTTTTGAAATTAGCCAAATCTCAAGCAATATTCAGTCATTTTTCTTTTTGTCTAACCAGAAGATTATCCAGTTTGCCTCTTCACATTAAAAAATTCTAAGGAAGAAACTCTCAAGAGACAGGAGGGAGGTCAGAATGGGCTCCAGCTCCTCTTCTTATGCTCCCAGAAACATTTACCTGGATGTGGACGGCAAAGTGCAAAAGGTGACCTCTATTACTGTTATTTTTTTATTCACATCGTTTTTTGCTCGCACTTTCTTACAGCAGATCAAACCTTTTGGCTCATGTGAGTTAAAATGGAGTTTACGTGTTTGGTTCATTAATGTGTTTTGTACAAATCAATGTTGAATTTTTTTCAAAAATAATAAAAAAAACTCTAAATTCTAGAAAACCGCTTTCCAACGTCTGTTAAATGCAAAAGAATCCCAAATATTCAGTCTCCTTTTTAACCTTTACTTAAATATTTTTCACTGATATTGATATTTAAAAAATCAAAACAAATCTAGTTTTTGATGCTGGTTTTATTATTTTAATGAACTTTTAATTGTTTGGGATTGTAAATGCTATGTTGCATGTAAAATCTGTGTCCCTTCCTGCAAAATAATATTCGTGAGCTTCTCAGTTTCAAAAAACTTCCCAAACTTTCTAGAAATTAGTTTAGTAGTTGAAAAAAATAAAAATAAACGAGTATTCCCAGTATGACCTGGTGATGAGGATCTAAAAATAAACAATGATGCAGCCTTTCAGGTGCTGTTGAAGAAAACAACAGCAGCAATAGTGCTCATCTTTATTCCTATCAGCAACAGCTTTCGTGTGCAGCAGTATTAGCACCATTCTTTACATTATTAATCATTAGAACATAGATATGAATGTAGAAATAAAGACTTTTAGATTTTTTAGCACCAGTGAGACCAGGTCAAAGCGTGCAGCGACAGGTGGTTTTAGGCTCGAGTTTCATGTGTCTGAGATCCAAACATGCAAACAAGGAATAAATGGGAACATTTGCTGATCTGTTAAAGTGAAGAGCGCTCAGTGGTCATCTGGAACTGACATATCCTTACAAGATCCCCTGGCCCACAGCCTGGGCTGATTATTTATCTGTTGCCTTCGCTGCCTTGTTTTCTGGGCACACAGAAGGTCTTTGCACGTTCTTCTGATTACACGCTCTGCATTTATTGCAATAAGTCTATTAAACTTAGCTGATTTGTTTGCATTTGACATCTTTATTAATTCCATGAAATCTAAAACCCCATCTGTTGTTTTTTTTTCCAAGTTCTTCCCACAATGCAAACAGCTTCTTCAATGTAGTTCTCATGTAATCATGAAATGATCTAACCCACACTTTGGATTATAGAAGAACGCATGAAGCTGCAGCTGTTTATACGCACGTGCTTCTCTCAACAGATTTGACCTGATTAAAATGATAAGTTTAGTTTTCCTTGTGACTGTAATACCAGCTACTATTTTGGTTCGAATCCACAGTTGCATGTTTTAAAAGGTTTCCCAGAGGAAGTCAATTAAATGTGTAAACTTAATTTTTAAATGTGTATTTATGTTACAGGTGGTGTTCAGCCGGTTCTGTTGTCCAAGTGTCATCAAGGAGCTTCTTTATTCCTCATCTAACATTCCCAGGTCTGTTGTTTGAAGCAACTGCCACACTTAAAACCATTTTTTCACTGGCCTGAGATTACTGATGACTAATCTCAAAAGGCATTTTTAAGGGAGTTGCCAAATGTTTGTAAACATTTGCAGGACTTCTCAATTTCCTGATGATTTGCAAGGCCTTGCTGTTCTGCGAGCCATTAAAGATGTCTGGCATCCATCTGGAACTTTGCAACGGGATGGCGAAATTCTCATTGAAAATTGTTGCAGGCTCATCTTGTGTCCCATCATGTGATCTAGCAAAAATATTAAACTAATTGCAAAAAAAGGAATCAATTCAGTGTGATTTTAATTGGAGATTATTCTCTAAGAAATTCTTTGTCACAAACTTCTCACCAACAATCAGTTCAGTGAATTACTGGCAACAGATTTTAAAGAATATACATTTTAAAAAACTGGGTTCCTCAACATATTTTCATCAAATGTATCAATAAACAATATTTCTCTCTTTTTTTCACACAACAGAAGCACCGCGATCATGGTTGTGGATCCAGAAGGTGCCATGGTCTCTATTGATCCCACAATGCCTACCAATTCCCCCAGGTAGCGTGTTCCTCTTTTTAAATCAATGTGTCCGAATATCTACATCTGTAGAGATTTTGAATGTCTCATCATTTTAACTTTGAAGTCACAAAAGCAGTGGTCAGAAAATTCTGGAATCAATTTGAAAATTGGAATAAATGATTGATTCCTTTTACAAAAATTAATTGATTGATTTAAACTCTTTATGTTTTCATCACCTCTAAACAAAAAAAATTTTTTTTTTGTTTTAATTCTGGCTACAGAAAAAGAAAATGCAAAAAAAAAATGTTTTTTCCTCTAATACACAAACATCTGATTTCTTACAGCTATTTGTACAAAGTTGTCCCATTGGCCTCTGTCCAACCTGAAGGTACAGATTATTGAACATCTTTAGGTATAATCATTGCAATTCACTTACCATGTTTATTGTTGTGCTTACAGAGAAGGAAGGCATGCTTCAGAATGTGTTGTCCCATGTGGCTGAGCAGTTCAGCAGGTAAATTGTTACCTGATCTTATTTATGTAACCCTCTCCTCCATGCCAACCAATTACATGACATTTAAAGATGTGGTTCTCTCGTTTAATCGATGCTTTTGAAATGGGTTCTGGTAGGAATGAAAGTCTTGCAAGCTGCGCTCATGGCAAAAAAAAAAAAGCCCAGAAGCGCTTCCGTACCAACAAGTCGGCTGCTGCAGAAAGAAGCCCAACACAGCAGGATTTGGAGTCTAGTTTCCTGATATTTGAACACCTTGCCTTGGATTGGATAATAGCAATGTGACCATACCACTGACTTGCAATGTGGATGTTTTATCTCCATGAATAACAGAAGCCTGGAGGAGTTTTTTGTGTGTGTGTGGTAGTGTTGCTAATGCTAACGGTTAGCTTCTACTAGTCAGGACGTTGTCTGCTGTTTCCTGAATGTTAAGAAACAAGAGCTGTCTCATCGCGAGTCAAGATTGATGAATCCATAAATGTTAAGGAACAGCACTAGGCTGGTTTAAATCCTACCTGTCTGACATCTTTCATTTTGTTAACGTACACAACAAATCTTCATACTCCAGGATTACTTGTGGGGTGCCACAGGGTTCAGTGCTTGGACCTATTCTTTGTACTATATATATATATATATATGCTTCCAATTGGTAAAATAATTAGACAGCATGGGATAAACTTTCACTATTATGCAGTCAATACTCAGTTAACCCTGATTAACCTAATCGGATAGGTAGATTACAGGCTTGTCTTGAAAATAGAGCCCTGCACTGAAGCCCTAGGCCCTCGGGCCGGGCTTCGGGCCAACAACTGTGTAATTACCTCAGACACGGGCCGGGCCGGGCGCCTTTATTTTTAATCAAATTCATTAAAAAAATTGAAACACAAACGCAGCAGCAGAGCCCTGCGCAGGACTGTTTTCTTCATCCCGCTCCTGCCCGCTCCCGCTGAATTTCTGACCATTACCGCCTGCAACTGCAACGTGTGTGTTACACTCCCGCCCGCACCTGCAGCGTGCATGTCTACTCCCGCCCGCAACCGCAAAACTCGGAGAAATTATTACCTCACAATAAAAGAGATGTATTGAGTTTGTGTCCTCTCTGGTCCTGGAGAAAACATGTCACAACCCGCGGCTCTTCCATCCATCTGATGCGGCTCTCTGTGCTTGCAAAATAATGAATGGATATTTAAATAAAATGCTTTATATTTTACTGAATTAATTTAAATCTGTAAGTCAATTCTATGTAAAGATTGTCTGCGTAAACCTGAACAGGTCCAACCCAGTCTTACTGTGAGACCGGGTTGACGGGTCACGCTTGTGCGTAATCATATGCGCTTTCTGAGCTGAAGAGATTCTGGGCTTCTCCTCAGACAGGCTCATGGATGCGTCACCACATTGGAGACAGGAACAAGCACAATTCAGCCAAAGTTTCATAATCAGGGAACATTTTCTAAGTGACAAGTCTCTGAGAGACAGGGTTTGGAAAACACTCGCTTCAGTGGGAGGAACCTTCCCGCATGCGCTCTGGTTCTGCAACGCACTCCAAGCCAATCTCCACAACTTCAGCTCGCTGTGCACATATGCGCTGACAGTGAGCTGCGCTGAGCAGCTCAGATGGGAATCTTTTCTTGGGTGATTTAGCTACATCTGCGATGTGTGTAACGAATAAAATGTCAGTTCGTCGGCATGCGTCGGGGTAATTCTTTCTATTCTTTCTCCGTCAAAATAAACCGTCAAATACGGGAACTATCCGGTCAACACAAGCCCTGCTTTTGACTGTTTTGTTTTCTTGTGAAAATTGTTGGAAAGAGATCAAACTTAACTTGATTTCCACCAGAGCCAATGCGCCGTTATCTCCGTGACAGTAAACAAGGGAAAAACAAATTGATCGGAACCTGCACGTCTTTTAACACTATGGTCAGGATTGACGCACTTTGTTTTCATTTACTTGGTTAAAAAAAAAAGTCGGGCTCGGGTCGGGCCAGAGAATCTTGAAAACCTTTTCGGGCCGGGTTGGGCTGGGGCTCCACCCCCTCGGGCAGGGCCGGACACGGGCTCAGATTTTAGGCCCGTGCAGGGCTCTACTTGAAAACATAAAAAAATTGGATGACTCTTAACTTTCTGCTTTCAAATCAAGCAAGATTGAAGTTCTCATCTATGGACCGAAACTTCGGTAAAGGTAACTGCTTAGTCAATCACCTGACCTGAACGGCATTAAATTAGTCTCCGAAAACAAAGTAAGGAACCTTGGTGTTATCTTTGACCAGGACAAGTCATTCAAATCCCATGTTGAACAGGTTTCCTTTTTCCACCATTGGAATATTGTTAAGATTAGAAGCATCCTTTCCAGGAGTGATGCTGAAAAACTAGTTCATGCATGTATTACATCAAGACTGGATTACTGTAATTGATTGCTCTCAGGAAGTCCACAGAATTTAGTTAAAAGTCTTCAGCTTGTCCAAAAAGCTGCAGCTAGAGATCTGATGAGAATTAGAAAGAGAGATCATATCTCTCCTGTCTTAGCTTCCCTACATTGGCTACCTGTTGAATTCAGAATATATTTTAAGATCCTTCTTCTCACATATAAAGCTCTTAATCATCAAGTTCCATCATACATCAGTGATCTGATTGTTCCATGTGTTCCTAACTGAGCACTTCACTCTCAGACTGCAGGTTTACTGGTGGTTCCCAGAATATCTAAAAATAGGATGGGGGGGTGGGCAGATCTTTTAGTTATCAGGCTCCTCTCTTGTGGAACCAGCTCCCAGCTTTAGTCTGTGAGGCAGACACCTTGTCTACTTTTAAGACTAGGCTTAAAACATTTTTATTTGATAGGGCCTATGGTTAAAATCTGATGTTAGCCCAGATCTGGACAAGTGGGGCAGTAGAGGGAGGTGGAGTGTACAGTCGGTAAAGACAGCTCTCCCTTGCCCTGCCTCCAACATGCCTCTATCTAAAAGGCTAGGTGTTGGTCTATGTGTGTGTCTGTACTCTCTTCTCGATCCCCACTGTTGCTAAATGCTTGCTTAGTATGAGTATTGCTGTAAAGTCACTGACCCCAATCCAGTGACTTGATGCAACCTGCTGGGTTCCTTATATAGAAAACTTTTTACTTGAGACGACTCTTGTCGTGATTTGGCATTATATAAATAAACTTAAATTGAATTGAATTAAGTGACATTATGACGTAGAACTGCCAGGCGTTTGATCCTAGATTTTCCCCATGTATTCTCTATCAGAAACTGATGCAGGAGATACGTGTAGGAGACTATTTGTCATGTTCAGCCTGAATGAAAAACACACAGTGACCGATTATAATCAGAAATAATCATTAAAAATTGGTTTTCAGAGTTTCACACCTTTAACTTCAGCCCACAGAGAGTAGAGTAACTCTCAACCAAAGTTTCTGTTTTCTCTGTCATCTCTCACAGAGCATTTCACATCAATGAGATGAAAACTGAGCTCACCAACAGGCTGACGATGTTGGAAAAGAGAGTGGAACGTGAGTGGTAGAGTTTATACGCAACACCTGAAAATGTCTGGCGTGAAACTTTATTTTTGTTTTTTAATAATTATCTGCTCAAACTCATACTACATGAAAAATATTCAGGCTAACTTTTTTAACTGGTTTCAGTAGAGGGTTTGAAAGTGGTGGAAATTGAAAAGTGCAAAAATGATCTTAAGAATCTTCGAGAGGAGATGTCTTCAAGAGGTAGCAGCAGGTAAAATTATTCTTCATGTTCACGCATAACAATAACCATGAAAAATGTTGATATGGAAACTTTAATTTCAGGTTTAACTGTTCGTGTAAATACAACTTAGACGATGGGAAGAAGGTCACACCCAGACGAGACGTCCCCAATTATCCAAAGGTGCAATGGTTTCTCTTTTCCTTTTCTTTATCATCACTTAGAATGTAACAAATGTTCTTATCATTTTATCTATCTGTCACATTCAGTACACACTTTCTCAGGAGACCATTGAAGCTCTGAAGAAGCCGACTTTTGATGTTTGGCACTGGGAACACAACGAGGTTTGTTGATGATCAACCATTATTATTGTGTTCTGCACTTTTAAAGACTGATGTCTGGTTGTTTTTGTCCTTTGTGGTTGCAGATGCTGAGCTGTCTAGAGTTTATGTATCATGACTTGGGACTAGTAAAGGAATTGAACATGAACCCCATCACTCTTAAACGCTGGCTGGTAAAGAAGGCACCAATTAATAAATAAATAAATAATTTTGCAGTGTTTCCCAACCCTGTCCTGCATGATTTCCATGTTGCCCTTTTAAACTCCAGTGTTTCCCTGCTGCCACACACCTGACTTAAATGAATGAGTGATTAACAGGCATCTGCAGCACTTGATGTCCTCCTGAGGAGGCAATATCAATCAGGTGTGCTGAAGCAGAGACAGGGAAAGTAAAGGAAAACTGAAGGAATATTGTTGGTTGGGATACGAATGGAGAGTGGAACGTTGTGCTTGGCCAATTTTGGGTGCGGTGACTTGAGAGGTGGATTGAGGCGGCGGAGGGTGAACATCGGGTTGTGGCTCACAGTTCGGATCTGGGTTGGCTGAGGGGGTTGTTCGGGTGGTCAGCCGACGGCCTGTACATGCCTGGTAAGATGGCGGCCCGACTTTGCTCTGTGTCGGCCTCGTTTGTGATGGTGGATGGGGAGGAAGGGAGCAGGTAAAGCCAGTCCAGCCGTTCATTCGGCTGGGTCGGGGGCTGGTAAGAGAGACCGTGGAGGAAACAGCAATGCTTCGGGTGGCGATTGGGATGCGCAGGTGAAGCAGCGGCGACTTCAGGATGGCAGCTTTGTGGTCCGCATCAGGGCAGTAGCAGGTGCGCATTTTGCAACCTCCAACCTGTTCGGTGTGACCAGGGAGCTGTGGGAGGTGATAGGTGATGCTATGATTGTGTTTAGTGGGCTGTAGACGGTGGTGTGTCGGATGAAGGCCGAGTGCCTCAAAGCGCTGAGGCTTGAAGAGTTTATGGGGGTGGGGGGTGGTTATGGTTGTTCGGCATCTGGGGTTTGATGTCAGTGGATCCACTCCACTTTTGACGCGGTGGTGCTCCCTGCTTGTGTTATGTTGGGCTTTCTCAGCTACTTGGTCAGGGCATTTGAGGGACTCCATTTGAGGTGCTTTAGGTGCCAGGGCTTTGGGCATGTGGCTGGTGCCTGTGTGGTGGGTGTGAAGTGTCGGCAGTGCGGGGGGGGGGGGGGGGGGGGGCATGATGGCAAGAATTTTGATCTGCTGCTCCACTGCTGCAACTGTGGTGGGGACCATCAGGCTGTTTACAGATGTTGTGTGGCGTATAGATCGGCGGTGGAGGTGGAGAAGTTTCAGGCAGAGCACAAGATGTCCTGTGCAGAGGCAGTGCGTTGAAGTTTTCTTATAGGGGTTGTGTGTGTTTGGGGGGGGGGTCTGTTGTTTATCGCTCTGTGGGTGCAAGGTGGTGGGGAGGTTCATTTGTGTGTTGCATGTGGCGGGTTGCTGGGTTTTTTGTGGCAGTTAATGTGGCAGCAATGCGCCTCTTTGGCATCCAGCCTGCCTTATTTAATGAAACAGAAGAAGAGACATGGAAAGCATTCAGATCAGTGTGCCCTGAGGACCAGGTTTGGGAAACACTAATTTGGAGCAAAGACACGGCCAAAAGGACCAGCTTTTGCTCAAAAACACCAGATAAAGAAATAGAGATCACACACAAGTTTGTCCGTTAGTTATTTAGTTATTCAGTTTTCAGTGGGCAGAACAATTATCAGTGTACTCTATTTTCTGTACCTCAGTTGGCTATTCAGGAGAATTACCGCAACAACCCTTTTCATAATTTTCGGCACTGCTTCTGTGTCAGTCAAATGATGTACGGCATGATTCACCTTTGCAACCTGAAGGTATGATATGAACAATAAAAAGGCTGATAATTTATAGACTAAATCATCTGTTGCTGAATCAACAACCAGACAATGATTAGCTGTGTTTTCCGTTGCACTGTTTTCCAGGAGAAGTTGACTCTGACAGATTTGGTGATCTTAATGACAACTGCAGTATGTCATGACCTGGACCACCCTGGCTACAACAACACGTAAGATTCACTTTTCTTTCTGTGGAGGTGTCGACAGCTATAACACTAGATTCCCACTGACCCCCCATTGTTCAATGCTGTTGTTGATGAACTGTGAAACTGGTTCGGCTTGGAGAGACTTCTGGTATGAAAACATGCCGATTGAGATAATGGTCTTGATTTTTGTTCTCTCTGGGGTTTCACACTGTTGAAAGCATCTCTTATCGTGGAAGCTTTATGAGAATTTGCTTATCTTAAATCCACCCGTTTAACTGTGTCTTCCATCCGTCAGGTACCAAATCAATGCTCGCACAGAGCTGGCCGTGCGCTACAACGACATCTCACCACTAGAGAATCATCACTGTGCCGTGGCATTCCAGATCATTTCCCTTCCTGAGTGCAATATCTTTGCAAATGTGAATCCAGACACCTTCAAAAATATTCGACAAGTGAGACACCATTCAATTCCATGACAAACATGTCTGCATGACGTTCCAAATATTATTTAGTTGATGTAAATTCCAATTTTTTAAAACTTTTTTTATCCAAATGTTTCCATTTATATATAATTTAAGTTGCAAGAAATCTGATTGGTGTGACATGTTTTGGGACTTGATAAATAAACTTTGACTTTTCTTTTGTGTTTCCAGGCAATTATCACTCTCATACTAGCCACAGATATGGCAAGGCATGGTGAGATCCTGGAGTGTTTTAAACAAAAAGTCAAAAATTTTGACTTTTCCAATGAGGAGCATGTGATATGTGTACGTAAAAATCTTACCAACCCAAGCACACCAACTAGTCATTGTACTGTTTACATAATTAGCCCCAAACCTTTTTATTCAGGTCGACTTAACACTGGAGTAAGACACCGCTAAGCTCTTCCAAACCTTTACAACCTTTTAAAACGTGGCTTAAGTGTGACAAATTTGGAAAATGTCCTTCAACAGACTCTTACAAAATATGTTTTATCCCGCTGTATTCCCATGGATGCTGCTCCAAACAACAAATAACCAACACTGTTACCATCAAGCTTCAGTACAGATGTCTCTGCCATACCCGTAACATCAACAGCTCTCAGAAGAGCACTTATATTGACATATTGACAAGAGCTGATCGAAAATCAATCAACTTTGATGAAAAACAGTAAAAATGGGGTTGTATGGGATAAATCTTGCATACAGCAGCTAATAATGTGAAATGACAAGTGTTGGGCTGGAGCCTGTAGGGTAAAAGGAATCTGAAAGGCCAAAGCATAACCACAGTTAGTTCTTGGTGGGATGTTGTTGTGGTTTTGTTCTACCCAATGAGTTTACAGTAATCAGCTCCAATGCACTCCTTTTAAACCTTCATCACACTCCCTTCTCCAGTAAACATTTTCACAACAATCTCAACATGTATGCGATGACGCCCCACCTTGCCACAACTTTCTTGGGCTGAATCAGGATGCAGCAACATGCAGGACCATACCAAATTAGTACAACACTGATACAAAATGGGACACAGCCTAGGCATGAGGCAATCCATGCAACTGAGCTCGAGGCCATTAGGCCTGCTGCTATCACGCTTCATCCATGACCTAATCTGCTGCCTCCACAAGCATAAACCATGAGGGACTTACTACAAAAGTTTTATGCATGCTTGTTAACCTTACTTTTTACCACAAATAATAGGGAGTCTGCCATGTATTTTAAAGCCTCTGCAAAAGACGTCCATGATCTGACTTTTTGATTCCATAAAGAGGTTTTCATCCTGTGTAAAGGGTGCATAATCAACTGACAGCTATGTTAGTATAGTAGCAAGTGTAGAAATATAGATTTTTTATGATAAACTCGTTACATATATTTAAAAATTTACTTGTTTTTAATTTAATTTGTGATTTTCTGACTTTTGTGGATATGTGCTTTCACAGATTTCTGTTTGTGTTTTCAGCTGAAGAAAGTTCTGGTCAAATGCTGTGACATATCTAATGAAGTGAGGCCGACTGAGGTCGCCGAGCCTTGGGTGGATTGCTTGCTGGAAGAGTACTTCATGCAGGTTTGTCTAGAGGTTCCTTTTACCAGGATGATGTCAACTTAAAGAAAATGCCAGTACAACAAGACAGAATGAGGATGATTCTCCTCCTTTTGTTTGTTCAGAGTGACAGGGAGAAGTCTGAAGGTCTCCCTGTGGCTCCTTTCATGGACAGAGATAAAGTCACCAAACCCACAGCTCAGATTGGATTCATCAAGTTTGTCCTTATCCCGATGTTTGAGACAGTCATGGAGGTAGGACAAAGCCTTTGTAGACATCTGGATATACGTAAACACTGTTTTTTTTTTCTTTTTTCATAATTACACTGATTTTTTTGATTAGCTTTTTCCTCAGATTGAAGAGATTATGGTTCAGCCTCTGAGAGACTCTCGTGACCACTATGAGGAACTCAAACTGCTCGAAGACGCCATGACAGAGGTGAAACCAATGTCTCTGATTAATCAACATCTTCTGACAGAAATTCAACATATTATGGAAACACTTGTGAGACAATAAGAATCATTGTGTTTACATTGCTTTAGGGACACTCGTATTTAGCCCTGTTACCACAGTAACGTAAGAAGAGACTAACCAATCCAGAGAGGAGCTTGTGGCTGTTTGCAGCCTATAATTTCACTGTCATACTTGGATAAGAGAGAGAGAGGTGGAGCCACTAATCACTGCTTCTCTTAGGTTGGGTTTAGACAGGTTTAAAAGCAAAATATAGGCAAAAGCACAATGTTTAGATTTACGTGAAGCATGCGTATGGGTGCTAATTATTGTGTAAAACAATATATTGTCAGGTGAGTTATATGTGCATCATAAAGCCACACTCATGAATGCTATTGGTTCAAACTTGCACAATGAGAGAATTTAGCACATGTTGACATTTTAAATCAGAGAGTGGACATTCCTGTGTGAAATCAGAATTTAAAGGGCAGTTCCTGCCATTTTAATATGGGTCTCTGACGTTTGAAAGTTCTGAATAAATAGCTCACCTGTAGTAGCTCTTCAAATGACCTGTTCAAGCAGATATTGTTTCATGAAGTTTTTCATTTCTTTCAGTTTTGAATTTTTCTTAAGCACAAATTGTAGTGTAACACTCCCAGTGCAACATGGACCCATTTCCTGCAGGAACTTCACCCAATTTCTATTGAAATGACCATACAACATTAAACCAATGGAGATGTAAAGATGAAAACAACAACTTTTACATCCAAATTTTAGAACTATTTTGTGATTTAAGTTGGTTTAATGCAGCAGCAATCCACTTCAGTCTTGGATGCAGTTGAATTAGAATTTAGCACATCACTGTGATCTGAATAAAACACCATTTCTCCAAAGTGAGGTCATTCAAATACAGGTGAAATGTAAAAACTTGAAATATTGTTCAAAAGCTCACGCAATACTTAAAATTTCTGGGATTTTCAATTTTGGGTTTGTATTATTGATGTAAGCCATAATCATCACTTTGCAAAGTTTTCATATTAAAAATGATTCTTGAGCCGGTGTGTGCTAAAATGACCCTTTACAGGGTTAATGAAAGGCCACTCAACCCCTATCGCCCCTTGTGGCAAGAATACTCCACTTGCAACTTCACACTGGCGGGCCGCTTTGTTGGGACTTAGCCTGATTCATACTTCTACGTGAGCTTCGCAATGGAGAGACGCACATGGAGTGTCGGATAGGTTTTCACTTTCGAACTTCTGTTCGGGCAGTGAAGTGTTGCAAAGCAATTCCCCACCAAGACAAAAGAGGGTGTGGCGTAGTTCTGTGCTACCATAACGCTCCCCGATAGTCCCCATAGTGTGTTTACTGTACCTGGTATTTACTAATGTATTTATATATTTCAGTGACTTTATAACATGGACAAATTTGTCCTTCATTCTCATCCAATTCTTCATGTGGTCGCCACCCCTAAACCCACTTTTACCATTGTTTCTGTCCACGTTTGATCCATACCTTGTACTCGCTCACTCACGAGTGAATAAATATTATTTTCTGACTTTTTGCGCGATGCGTTCTTCAGTCTGTTCTGGGTCTGCTGCTAAATATCTGTTTACTTTTTAACTGAGCTACAGCAGTGCTGGTGACAAATATACAGGAAGCGGCGTCGTGACCAATCACAAGCGTTCTCCGTAATTTTCGACAGATGTTTAAAATTTTAGGCATGCGTCGGCGAGCCCTTGCGCCGACGCATAATGGCTTTGCGTGTCTCCACACCGACGCAGGCGGAGAAGTAGAAATCAGGCTTTAGAAAGAATTGTGTTGACATACCTGGCGCTGGAGTCTGGTTCCAGCACATTTCCTGCATGTTGTAGATCATGAACACAGCTGATATGTTAAATTTAGTGATGAATCACTCCTGTAGACACTAAGGAAGGCTGGGGAGGCATTTCAGCTGTTAGATTTAGGTGTTAAAAAGCAAATGCACAGCAACGCAATATCTTTTGCTTTTGGTTCTACAAATGGACACTAGGGGGTGCTAAAAGCAAGCCAAAACTGCCTAATTCCCCTTTAAGTTGAATTACTGAAATAAATAAACTTTTGCAAAATATCCTAATTTTTTTTTGTTTTAACTGTATCTATCTACTGTTGAGATGTTTTTTTTTCTACTTAACTTAAGACTGCAACATATAGTTTAGAAGTTTATATTTCTCCTGCGGAATATTTTTCTACAATTGATATTTACGAACACACAAGGAGATGCAAGTACATATATATTAAGTCATATGCTAATATAAAGGTATTTTTTGTTCAACGAGGCGCAGAAGAAAAAAACGGAAAATTTGTCATTAGGCCTGGAGAAGAAGTAAACACGGCAGTGAGTGAGAGTGCATTTATGTCTGTGTAAGTAGAAGCCACTGAATCTGTGTTTTTACATGTTTAGTGTGCGTTATAAGCTCCTGTGTTTCCCTCTGTTCCTCCACAGCAACTCCCACCCTGACCTCTGCAGAAAGAACAACGTTAAATGTGCTGCACTTTCACCATTGCTGTTTCATAGGATCTGAATTATTTACCCACAATATCCTGTTTAGTTTTGGTTTTGCAAATAACGTTCAAAGTCAAAGTTTTCTGGAAATGTTATTAGTTTAAAAGCCAAACTAAACGCTTGAAAAAAGAAAAGAGACACTCAGTGGCGTGTCCAGATCTTTTAAAATGGGGTGGCCCAGGTGAGGCACTACTTTGTGCATATGTGGCACCCGTGGTTATGCTTTTTTGTTTTACCTCAATCCTTTTGTGGACTATGGAAATCCTATTTAAAGGGAATTCTGTGTGGTGACACCTGGGGTGGCCTATCAGATTCCAAGGGTGGCATGTGCTCCCCCAGGCCACTCCCTGGACACACCCCTGGAGACACTCAACAAATATTTGAAGATTTCAGAAAACAATCCAAACATCCGCACAAACCCAGCTGAGAACGACATATTTGATTTGTGAAAACAAGCTGGTGAAACTGTTTCTTAAACACAATGACTTTCCTTTTTTAATCACAGCATCCAATTGTACTTTGTGCTCACAAATTAAATCTAAACCTTATAATTTTATTTTCTGCCTTTTCACTTTTTCCACAGTCAATTCTGACTCGTGCAGTAGCTCTGAAGCTGCTTCTGTTTTTTCAGTGTTAGATCATCATGCAAGAACTGAACTGAGTTGTCAGTGAACCTAGATTTAGTCTCAGCTTTTGCCTTTACAGCTCAGCTGCTGCTTTCTCTTGGATTCATTTCAGCTCTTTTTCCGTTGCAGGGGTCCTCTTTCATGATCAAATTCGGGAAAGACTTGAAGAGTCAGTGAGGCCCCAGTGAAGACGTCCTGCGCCGCAATCTGAGGATGACAGTCGAAAGCAGGAGGGCAAAGATGAAAGAGACTCAGCTCAGCTGCATACTGAACTAAAATTAGGTGACACAAGGGGCAGATCTTGAACTTTGACTTAGACTTTAGCTCTGGATGTTGAAAGGAGGTGTTGGATCTTCTCCGTATATTTATGGCACTTAAGCTGAGCTCTTTTCTTGTTTGTATTTTTAATGCAAAAGTGTGAAAAAGGCGTTTTTAAAAGCATTAATGTAAAGTAATTACGTTCTTTTGCAAATGTGATTGCCTGATAGACCAAAGTTTTACAAAACACGTCACCAAAACTAAATCAAAGTTTTCCACAGTTTCCTAAACGGTAAAATTAATCAGCAATAACGTTTATTTAATGTTGGGCATGAAGAGATGTTTCATTTACACCTATGTCTTTCTGTTCTACTGAGCAACAGCGGAGAGGGCACTTTACACTTCTGCCAATGTGATAGAATATTTAGATCATTTTGACCTTTTGACATCCAGGCTAAGGCTAGATGACTGAAAAGTGCAATAGCAAATGTGTCAATCAAATTTAGATCATGTGAAATGAGTTATTTTCTTACAAAACACACATATTTATTGGAAAATATTTTCACTGAAGTCCTCAGGGGCTAGGCAGTGTCAGTTTTTCTCAGATTTACACTATAACAACCTTTATTCACTGACTGCTGGAACTGCTTGTTATGTTTTATTAATGCTACGTGTAATTTTAGGGGTTTTAAGTATTTTTCAAAAGATGTCAAATCTAGCAACCCATGTGTGTTAGAATCAACATGTTCTTTGTTATGTGTTAGAAAAGTGTCTCTTGCAGGCCTGAGCATGGAAAAGAGTCTGCAAACATTTCCTGTGTACTGGAAACTTGATCCAAATGAGCTCATGGAGAGGGAAAGCGGTAGTTGTTTGACGTCCTTGATTGTCATTTTAGTAGATCACAGGCTCTCTACAGTACCCAATTATCCGTGTTTCTGCTCACTCCTCGTGCATGGTATAATCCATTGCTACACCTTTTAAAGAAACAATGTGTAGTTTTTACCATTAATCTCTGGAAATATCCATTGTGGAAATTGAATAAAATGATGTCTAGTTGTTGAAAAATATTGTCAGCTTTGTACCGTATAATAATAAAAATTGGGTCTGAAGTTCATAGGGGCACGGGCCAAGCATCTTTGGGGGACACCATATTAGACGCCATGTTTCCTTCTGGCCGGCTCAGGGTCCTCTGCCTGTCGATGAGGTCACACTATGATTGGCTGGACGTATGACTTACAGAAGTTACATTACCACGCTCAAAAACATTTAGGCAGTGTGAAACAGGAATTTAATAACAAACTGCTAAACTCTTTCCAAACATATGTGAAAGAACAGAATCAAAAAAGAGATGCAATATATTTTGGCCAAGCGGTATTGCCATAGACATAGACATCATTGGCAGGTGCAGGGCCCTGAGTAAATCTAGAAATTACAGCACCAGAAAAATACAATCATCTAGATGGAATTCATTAATGGACCGTCAAAGTCTGAGGAGTCATGCCGAGGCTGCATGCTTTCTGCTCCACAGGTGACTAACAGTCACCCTGAAAGGTGTGACTGCCCCCTAGCACCAGGAAACTACACACTGCCACTTTAAGTTAATATTATTACTGCAAGACTGCCTGATGCCAACTTATTTTGTTTTGTATTTTAACTTGCACAGCTACTTTGACCTTTCAGGTCTCTCCCCCGATCACTGTAGTTAAAGTTGAGGTTTATCTTATTCTGGGGATGTGCAGCTGATAGTCCCGCCTCCTCATCTGCATACAATCATAGTGTTTTCAATTATGAAATAACCAATTACTGCTAAATGCGCTAGAATAAGAACTGATTCAACAACGACAACAAAAAGCATCTGAGACACATTTATGTAAGTTTAGCAATGGTGGACATAGAGAGGGTGGGACTTAAACCTTGTACTGCAACCTGCCACTAGGAGTTGTTCATTTGTCCCAGCTTCAAGTTCTGCATGGATATCTATGTGCAGGTGATGGAATAGCTTTAAGTGTTTTATTTAGATTAACAACCACAGAAATTTAGCTGATGAGTTTTTAAAAATGCTTTAAAAGCAACTGAAATACTTTACTGCTTAATCCCGCAGTCCATGCAGTCTTGTTATTTTTAACTCCTGCTGGTCACTGATTAGAGTTTAGTTACAACATCTTTACCAAAAAAAAAGCTGGAATCCAGTCAAAATGTACAAAAATGACACTGATTATTAACATTAGTGCCACCCAAATTTATCACTTGTTGAATCCATTCCACAAATTCCCTTTGAGCCATTCAACTGTGGCGGTTTCTTCCAGCTAGTCCTTGGTTATTTTATGACTGCTTTTTATTGACAGTGTGTTCTACTCCTCTCTCACGTCACCTGCAGGCTTCATCTGACACCTACAGTACCAAACACCACCTGTGTAGCTCTGAGGAAATCCCACTGCACGCTAACCTAGGAATCAGCAAGGACTTACCTGATACTTTATGTTATTCTTCTTCTGTTTACACTGAAAACAGATCAATGTTCAGCAGTTTCTATTTAATATTTTTAATAGTTCACCTGGAAGTGTTTTATCTGATATGGTTTGTGTTGTTAATCATGTGACTTTGTGGCTGTTGAGATGAAAGATAACAGAAAACCCATTTCATATTGAGTGTTTGAGCGTAATTACCCATCATCTCTTCAGCATAACGTGACAGTGTGTATTTACATACAACCTGCAGGAATGCCACAATAAAAAAAGTGTCTCATAACAGGATGGTGCACTAGTTCTAGTCCACTGATTAAGGGTATACTATGCAACTTTTTCATGAGCCAGTATGTGCTAAAGTGACCTTTTACAGCAGCCTGGTGAACTAGACCAAATTCTTACTTTGCAAAGTTTGGTCTAGGAAAGCTCTATAGAGCTCCGGGAGTTGACGTCACTTCTCCCGGCGTGCAACAGTTCAAATCGAAACGGCGCCATATTGGCAGGCAGAAGCCGGCAGCTGGACTATTTGTTATTGTCAGAAAACTCAATCAGACAGGAAATATGGTTGATTCCTGTTGTGCCCCAGGATGCAGAACAGACGCGGACGACATAAGAAATGAGCCATCTACAGGATTCCCCAAGATCCGGAGCGCCGCAAACGTTGGATCATTGTAATAAAACGCACTAGTGACCGGGCTGAAATGAAACTGTGGGACCGCGAGAGTACAGGTTTTCGCTTATGCAGCGACCACTTCATATCAGGTACTTAAACCAACGTTTCCTCAACTGTGTATGGTATTTATTTTAAATGCTTTTATTACGATTCTTAGTGGGCTTCCTAAACTTATTTTGGCGTGGCTTTTTCTGTCTTATTACTCATAGCAACAAGTAAACATCACGTAAAACGTTGCCTTGTGAGTTCTGCGTGCTGCCGTTTACGTGTTTTATGATCACAGCAATTAACCGGCTAAGCTGTATTTAATTTTTAAGCAATGGTTGATCATTTGTCAGATCACACATAAAAAGCACTTTGGATTGCTATTATCTGTCTCACCGAGACAGATCTCAGACAGATCCTGAGACACTCCTGCCTGACATATTTATTTTATTCACGGAAAACAATCAAACTAGTGATTTCTCTTGGCGTTCAGTTTATACATTCAAACAGCACAGCACTCTGTTTAAACTACTTACATGTAAATCTGTTATTTGTCCATCCATCCATCCATTTTCATCCGCGTATCCGGAGTTGGGTTGCGGGGGCAGTAGCGTCGAGAGGCCCAGACTTCCCTCGCCCCAGCCACTTGGGCCAGCTCTTCCGGGGGAATCCCAAGGGGTTCCCCGGCCAGATCTGGTAAGAAGTCCGCTCCGACAGCTTCTGGCGTTTTTAAAAAGTATCCCAGGGGCACGGTAAGGATCGGAGATGTTTAGTCTATTTAATCTCTGACTATATAAAACGATTTCTTCGGTTTTAAAGTGTGAAGTAAACTCCGACAAAGTAAAATCCAAGCTGATCCCGTGCACGTTCACGGTTACGACCCGTGTTTGTTCATCTTCTTTTACCTGCCAATATGGCGTCTACTAACTGAGAGTCACGTGGGGTCCGGAGCTCTATAGGAACATCTGCAGCATTCTCGCTGGCCAATCACAGCTCTCTAGAGGGGTTTCAGTCCTATAGGGGTTTCTATCTGCTTTGTGGACCAATCACAGTGCTTTATCCGCTTTGTGGACCAATCAGGGCCCTCTATTTGTCTGGTGGGCGTGGAACAAGATGGTGACAGCTCGTTTGAAATGGCTATTACATCAAACTTGGGCTATTTAGACTTGTGTTTTATTAAATTCAGGAGCAGATAGATGTATTTAAGTTATTTATTTAGAAAAAGGCTGTATTTTTGCCTTCTTCAACAGCGGACTGCCTTGTTTACCGACATTCAGTTCAGGTGAGTGAGCACGTCACATTGTTCATTGTCCAGTAGCATGCGGAGAGACAACAGACAAGACAACGGTAGAACCCGACCCACAACCAAGAGCCATCAGTGGAGCGTTGCCAGACTAAATAACACATTTATTTAGTCTAGCTTGCAAGGCTACCTTCACAGGGTTCATGATGTCACTCAGACCCCACCACCCCTGGCCAGAATACCGCACTTGCAACTTCAGAGTTGCCGGGCCAGTCCGTGTTGGACTTAACAAAGTGGAGCTGACATGCCTGGGGCTGCAGTCTGCTTCCATCACATTCTCTGCATGTTTGAGATCATGAATACAGCTGATTTGTTCTATTTAGGAATGAATCACTCCTGTAGACACTAACGAAAGCTTGGGAAACATTCCAGCTGTTGGATTAAGGTGTTAAAAAGATGAACGCGCAACAAGAAGATACGTTTTACTTATGTTTTTACTAAAGTACACTGGGGGGTTCTAAAAGCAAGCCAAAACCATGTTGAATCTCTTTATAGCAGTTACCTATAAATAAAAGGTAAATATTTCTTAGGAACAAGTTGAAACAACATGAAAAAGTCCTTCAGTATATTTGTTTTTATCTTAATGATGAATGACAACACAAAATTCCAAAAAGTAATTTTAACAACATGTCCTCACATGTTTCAAGCTTATAAGCTAAATGTATTCAGTGTAACTCACACATGTTTCTAATGCCTCTACCACATTGGTAGGTTTAGTATTTTCCTCAAAATGTGATCTAATGAATCTTGTATAAAATGTATTCCTTCAGGAGGTATTCAAGTCAGTGGAACTAAAATGCCATTTTCCTTTTTTTTGTATGTATATATACACACACACACACACACATATATATATATATATATATATATATATATATATATATATATATATATGTGTGTATATATATATATATACACACATATATATATATATGTATATATGTGTATATATACATATATATATGTATATATATACACATATATATATATATATATGTGTGTGTGTGTGTGTGTGTGTGTGTGTGTGTGTGTGTGTATATACATTTATCATAAAATATATAAAATTCACTTTAAATTCCACAAAATGAATATTATTTCAAAACTGTTCAGCCTTCTTAAACAGAATTGTGCACAAATTCAAAGTTAAATTTTCTCCAATCATTTACTTTTATTGTATTTGTCATATTATAATTCTGTTTTTGTTTTGTTTTTTCCTCTTCAGACAAAAGTTTTATCAATTTTTCTTCTATAGATTTTCTCACATTAATGTACAGCTCACTTCTTTTTCTTTTTTTAATTGAACCTCATTCATGTCATCTACCTCCCAAGTATTTTGTTTTCCAAGCACAGATCTGTTCTGGTGGTCTCACAAATCCTGATCTCAGGACCGAGAGAAGTTTGAAAAAGAAACAGAGGGTAATTTGATCCACTCTAATCCCTTTTTATCTGCTTTATCTCACGTTATCAGATTAAAGAGCATGTGAGAAAGACGCACACAGGAATGTTGATTGAAACTGATAAAATGTTCATTTCACAAGGCAGCACAGAGCGAGGTGAAACCCCATTTGGTATGAAGCCAGTCTTGAAAATGTTTGCATGCTGTGATTGACGTGTTTTGACTTGTCCATTTCTGGCAAGCTGTACGTTAAGAGGAATAAAAACAAAAGTTACTTTATTACTTAAATTCACCCTGAGTTAAATATACATAAGCGTCCTGTTTGTTCAGCGCCATTCCCATTTAGAAAGCCAGATTTTCAGCCCATAAAGAATAGCAGTTCTTCATTTCCTGTCTATTATTCTCCCTCTCTTACTCACTTCTCTTCTCCCAAGTTATACAGAAAACTCCCTTCACCCTCATCCAGGGGTTAAGGTGAGGGCGTGCGCGCGCGTGTGTGTGTGTGTGTGTGTGTGTGTGTGTGTGTGTGTGTGTGTGTGTGTGTGTGTGTGTGTGTGTGTGTGTGTGTGTGTGTGTGTGTGTGTGTGTGTGTGTGTGTGTGTGTGTGTGTGTGTGTGTGTCAGAGCTGTCGGAAGGCTCTCTGAACTGGAAGACTTGCAGAAATACAATGATCCTTGAAAAGTTTCATGGGAAACTCCATAAAATGTTATGGAACAATCTCCTACTGCTGTCCAAGCTCATCTTACTGTTCATAAATCTGTTCTTTATTACTAAAACGTTTTCTGTTTTGATGTCAAGCTCTTTGATGTCTACCAAACTTTTCCCAGTCACCTCTCAAAGATCAGAACGATAGAAAAGTCAGAGGAGTGACTCAGCCACCCAGACTGATCACTAGCGATATTTCAACGGTGCAGCTCTGACCTGTTTCCTGTGAGCAAACACATCACACAGACAAAGGGAGGGGGCAGTAAAACCATCACAGACGTTTCTTCCCTCCGACTCCTGCATTCACAAGAATGTTCAACTCCCTGTTCGACCATTAGACTGTGAGGACACCAGCTAGATTTACTGAAGACATCTACATCACTGCTAATAATGGCAGGAGGTCAAAGGTCACAAGTGAGAATCAACACTAAAGAGTGGTCCCGCATTTCTTTGTGCAGTGGGAACAATAAACAGAGTGGAGTTCTGGAAGTTTGGTTGCCAAAAGCAAGATTTAGTTTTTTTTCTTTTAAAGAAATAAAATCAGTGGAAGTGATTCTGGAAATCAATGTTTTAATGATTTTATTCAGCTCATTCAAATGAACTTTGAGCACAAGTCATTAGCCCCCTCTATAAAACAATGAAGCAAGTTATTGAGACATGTTCTCGTCCCACAAGTGTGATTTCTGAACAGACGGAGCTGGTGTGTGTGGCTGCCGAAGCCTTTTTTTTTCATTCCCTCTTCCGCTGCTCATCCAGAGCTGAGTTGCTGCATCAGGAAATGCAAAGATCTCCAGACCACCTTCTCCTTAGCTACCTCCTGGATCCTATCCAAGTGGTGTTCCCAAACCAGCTGTGAGACAATATCTCTCCAACTTCTCCAGAAATCATCCTTACCAGATGTTAAAATCCACTTTTTGAGGTACAAGTTATTCAGCAGAAGCCAAATTGGTCATTTGTAATCCTGATCTCCTTTTTTGGTTATTACCCCACAGCTCATGACCATAGACGAGTGTTGGAACATGTATGTGTTGCTAAACTGACATCTTTTCCTTTTGAATCGGACTTCTTTTCACTGCCACAGATCTGTAGCCTACAGTTTCCACATCACTGCAAAAACTTCCCCAATCTAATCTTCTTCTACCCTTACTTTTGAACAACAC